ACTCGGGCAATACCTAGCACCGAACGAAATTCAAATTCGATCTAAATAATTCGGACAAACTGACGCTGTAGCTTATTATTTTATTTTACGTACGTGGACGACGATCTTAATTTTAAATTTTCAACGATCGGAAAAGGAAGATAGTATTCAATTTAATAATGTTTAATTTTTATTTGGCAGTGAATTATTCTTAAATTAAAAGAATTAGATTACCAAATGTAATAATAACACAGTGAATTGTTAAATTATTCTGTTTTAACTGACATGTGTCTTGTAAATTCTCTAAATGAAGTCTATACTTGAAGGACACAAAGAAACGAGTAAAAGTTTCTAATTTAACAAGCTAAGAGCACGCTTCTTGTAAAAGGTATAAAAGACAAAAGCGTGAAAACAAAAGAATAAAAACAAAACTATTAAAGAAAGAAAGAAAAAAAAAGCAACGGGACACCCAAGGAGCCGATATTTGCAAAGAAACGTAAATAAACTTTCACTGGCTTGAAAATTAAATCTCTAAAAAAAAAAAAAAAATTGCCATCCTTTCTGCTGTAATCCCATCGGGATCGGTTATTAGCAGCACATAAAACGCCGAGTTGCGGCAGCAATTGCTCTCCGATCGCTGCGTTTCCTACTTCCACTAGGAAGTATCATAACAGGATAACATCACCACTGGTGGCAGAGGAAGATGGGTGTAAGAAGTTTAAGAGTTGAAAGAAGGGAAAGGAAAGGAGCAAAGTGGTGGAAAATGTAGAAAGTACATTTGCACTTGGTTGCAAGAGGAGGAGGAGGAGGAGAGGAAGGTTGTCAGCAAGTTGCACGAAGGTCGCTGAAATAAACGCATCGCGTATAAGTTCGTGACAATGACGTTGCACCGTGCTGGCGCGGCGTAAAACGCCCCTGCATTGACGTAAATCCAAGGTTAATATGGGACGTCTCGAATCGAACGCCTACAGGTAAGCTACGTAGGCAGAGAGAGAGAGAGAGAGAGAGAGAGCCCACACGATTTAACGATACCTCGATGCACATCCACCTGTTTCGGATCGCTTCTCTAACTCATTGCCACGACAGACGGTTGTTCTCCTCGCGAAAGATTGAATAAAAACGAACAATTTGTAGCGTTGCTACCATTCATACCGTACAGATAAGTACTCGCGTATCTACGAGTTACATTCTGCCACGTGATCGTGAAGATAAATTTCTTTCCAGGAATCAAAGTGGGTGGCGGTTTGCTCGGTCATGCACTTTTATACTCCATTTTATAATGTTATTTTTTTTCTTACTGTTAAATACCATCCTTTGTCATATTTCTGTTTGCTCGTATCGACGAGTTCTAATTTAAAAGTCATCTGGCGGAGGGTAACAGCGGCGAATTGATACTCGTTGCGTCAAACGGGAATAGAAACGATTTAACGTTTTACAGTAAACAAAGTTCTTGTACTTTTAAAGGACAGGTTCGTTTTAAAACAAACGTATACTCGTTGTTAACCCACGCAACGTTGGAAAAAGCAGCTGGAGAGAAAGGTCAGGTTTTATCGATACCGGGGATAAGCAACATTTCCACAGTCGCACTTTATGAAGCGAATCTTGCTAAAAATTTATTACTGTCATTTCGTCATTGTGAATATTCGTGAAGCAACTTAAACGCTCGCTTTCACAGTGTGAAAAACGATTTCTCTAAACTCGTCAAATATGTCCGGGCTTTAGAAAATATATATCGGATTATAACGCTCGTCGTGGGCGTTGTATCGTACTTCGCAAGACGTAGTTTGCAACATCTATTTTTTATCAGATGCTCCCCAAGTTGACCTATATTTCCGAGACGATTAAATGCTCCAAGACTATGCGTGATTTATTCTTGACAAAAGTTTTGGTGTTTGCAAAGTCTTCTTTTTTTCCTGGAAATTAATAACTTCGCGAAAAAAAACTGTACTATTTCGTAGCAACAAAACTTTAAGATTACGTATCAAACATTCTAGATGAAAGTTTCAAATCTTTCTTTTCTTTTTTTTTTTTTTTTTTCGTTTTTAATTAATAGTTTTATTAAGAATCATCGAGCATGGTAGAAGGATGTTTTGTAATTTACAAATACCGAATTACTCGAATTAATTTCGTCTGTGCGCGGTGAAGAATGTAGATGAGAATGAATTGAATTTCATGTACGATTTGCATACGACCGTACGCGCTACACGTAATTGTTAAATTATGCGCTTCATTGGATGACTCATGTGTTCGAAAGCTCATGTAGAGCAACAGCAGCAATCTACAGTGAATTGAATGTTTTCTAACACGAGCGTACTCCAGAATGGGCTTCTATTTGTGCGTTAACAGGTATTACATCGTATCACACATGGTACGTACTTAATGTAAATAATACACAGCAACTTTGTTTCTACATAGATTTCGTCAATAGTCAACTTAGCTTCGTAAACTGCCACAGAAATTATCTGTCAAATTGCCAGGGAA